ACTAAAAACATAACCTTTAGAATATAAATAAAATGATAATTTCTCTCAACCTTTAGTATTATAAATGAAGTGATAATTTCTCTAAGCCTGGAACTTCTATAATCTTTCAATTGAAAAAGTAGGTTATATGCTTTGGACTCGTTTAGGACAGCACAGAAAATATGTTAAAAGAATGAAGTTCCAAAATGGATAATCCAAAGTTTTAACTTTTGATGTTTCGGAGCCACTTGTTTCAGCTTATTTTCCCTGAATGTTATTCGTACTAATCGCTGGAGAAATTCATAAATCATATGACTCACTCAGATCTATACTAAGTACGTCTAGCGTATGGCTGGCATTGAGTCATTCGCTAAAAATCGTAGAAAGCATTAGGAGCTGGAGTTGAGAGACAAGGAGGAAGCTTTCAAAATTTAAGAATTCATCGAGCAGAGCTGTTGTTCGACTTAGAACAGATTGCTTAATGCTAGTTTGTCAAAGCGGACAATTAGGTTGGAACGAAAACTTTCTTCCAAAATTTTGATTCATATTTAGGACAATAATAAATAATAAGTGATAACAAATCTGGAGAATAAAGATGAAAGTGAGCAAATAGCAAGCCAAAGGAAGCGTTGTTTCGCGAGAAAAAGCAGTGTAATGAATGGCATTCTCCTTAAACCTTGGATATAGTGCAGAAATAGTTGGTGTCTTGATGTCATGAGTTTGGAGTTATTATTATGGCAGACCATTCGCTCATAGTAGAAATCTGATACTGACATTTCCGACTTCTTTTATGGCATTCTTCTGAGTGCACTTGTGCCCTATGGGTGAAAGAGTTCAAGAACACTACCATATATATAGTAAACTTATGCAGCAAATATTTAGAATATTCTGAAAAAAAGGTTACAAGGGGTATGGTATACTACTGCATGTTTCTTCATGAAACAATTTGCACTAGCAAAGAAACTGTTGAAAGAACCGCAGCGACATCGGGAAGCCTCAGTTATAAACTTAAGGATAAACTGTGTTTTTCATAACATTTGGATCATTTAAAGTTACATTGAATAACGAAGTTTTGCACCGACGCAGTGATTAACAATTGTGGTTTATTTACAACTAGCCAGTGAGTTTCCAAATAAGCATGTATTCAATTTATTGCATTCCCCAC